TGTGTGTGTGTGTGTGTGTGTGTGTGTGGATGTAGAGATAACCCTCATTAAAAATCATGAATATGACTTTAATTAAGAGTTTCCCTCCCCAGTTCGAAGATGGTACTGTTGAAAAAGAACAATCAATCACCATATATCACAGAAAACACACAAAGTCGTTCTGGTTTATTTTGGCCTGTTAAAATTAACTGACTTTTATTAAAGAGAGTAATATTGAGTGATTAAAATATGTGGTTACAACAATCAAGTAATTAAATGGGCTTTCACTAAAACGTTTCTACTTTTTAAGCAACATGTCTAACAGTATTATCTAAGCAAAAGCAGATTAATTTATGTACAAAAAAGGGTCTGTGTGTGCGTGAGTGTGTTATGTGTGTGCATGTGTATTTAAAAGGGAGAGAATGGGAGAGGGAGAGACAGAAGACAAACAGACAAAAATAGATCTTTTAAAGTTCTAAAGGTTTTTAAGGTTAAATTATGTATTTGCTGTGAGAGAAATCAGCCTGGGACAAGGTGAGCCAGCATTTCAGCCTTTACCGTAGTCGGGAAACCTTTTCACACGAGACCTGACGCTCAGGGCAGAAGCTTGTTGCTCAGCATAGACCAAGGCCTCTCTGGGTCAGACGAATGGACAGAACATGTTCCTTCTCATGGACTCGGTCCATGAGAGCAACGCGGCAGATAAATGGTCATTCTGATTCTGGTAAATGACAGTGGGAGTAAGTTTTATGACTTGAACTGCCCCTAAACGTTTTCTTTACCTGCTTTTTCCTTCTTGGATCGCTGGAATCTGGTATCCCCAGCAAACATGATAGAGCTAGGTGTTACTTGAAATTGTGAAGGTAAAATCAAACAAGAGTTTGTATCAGGGGTAGTGTTAGGTTATTAACTTAACTCCCACCCAAAATCAGCATCCATACCAGTGGGGAGCCAGGATTTGGTCCGTACGAGGGTCCCCACAAAGTTGTGTTTTTTCTGGAAATTGATCCCCACAATGTAGCAAAAATGTGTACACACACAAGCAAGTTATACTTCTTTACATTTGGTAGAAACATTGGAATTCAATTCTGTTGCTGCGYTGTTGCTGTTCTGGGGCTGTTTTCATTGTCCCGAAAACACGTCAAAATGTTCACAAATCATTTCTCTACCTTTGTTCTGGCTCTGATTTTTCTTTAATTCKTTGAGTTTATTTCAACTTATATTGCTTTGTTCAGCTTATTTCTGATATGTTAAGCTTTGTTGCTGCTTTCCGTCAATTTCAGCTGTTTTTGAGTTTTTTTCAACTGAATTTACCTTTTTGTAACAATTACGCTTCTTACTGCTTAATTCAACAAAAATGTGCTCTCTTTCTTTGTGCTAACTTCAGCTATTTCAGCTATTCAGCTACTTCTTAGGCTATTTTTTAAATAGTTCATATGTTTTTATCTATAAAAATATTTCAGCATTATGCGTGCACACTGCATTTTTTAAGGAAATGCAATTTTTTTTTCATTTGCTTTCATTCTACCTCAAAAGAAATACTTTTCCTTAACAAATTAGTAAAGTCATCTAAAATACTAATAAAATGTTTTACACACTAGGTCAAACTGCTACAAATGAAACATACAATATTGTTATTTTCAGCCCAATTGAAACATCCCATCTCACTGCATTGAAGCATCTAGTATAATTTATTTTTCTGTTCATCATTTATGTTGTCAGATGTGATTGACAAAGTAAATATGCCATTTTAAAAACCAGACAACTCTGACCTCTTTGGATTAATATTCATTATCAACCAAATATCAATCAGTGACTTCTCCTCTCATTGATCAAGCTGTTACTGAGGTTCAATACCCACTCTACCGAGTCAGACTGGGCAGAAAGCAAGCATCAAATGACCAAGATAGAGRAGCAGGATTTACTAGACACTGCAGGATTGAAAACTGCCCAAATGAGAAGAGGCAGATAAGCTGCTGTTACACTACTGACTTGGCCAAGGAGCTGTGGCAGTCGGTGGGAGGTTTTGGACCCACATTGCAGACTTACACTAAAGAGTTTTCAAGAAAAACTAAAATACTTTTAAAAAAATCAATAAAAACACAACACACTTGATGGAAGACACAAGGCAGACTGGAGCTTGTGGCATAAAAAAAAGTTTTTTATAAACTTCAGTGAAAAGTATGCTCAAAAAGAGAAAACTTGCAGACTCCTCCTCGTCTTAAAAAAAGACAAACTCGAATTACATCACTTTATACGATTATAAATGAAGGATAACATTACAGACAACTCCTTCTCTTTCTTTTGGCCCAACTTGTCTTCTGTACGGTCTCCTCTCCTTGGCTGAAACTTAAATTTCCCGAATTTACAGCAGCTGCAGAAGGCAGGATCTGATAACACACCTGGTTAATACAGGTTGAGCTCCTTMAAGATAGAC